ACCAGGTTGGCCTTGAACTCACAGAGGTCCACCTGGCTCTGCCTTCTGAGTGCTGGGATTAAAGGCACCACCACCGCCCAGGGGTTTAAAGTATTCTGGAGAATATAAATAGGTTACATGCAAATTCTACCCCCCCCCTTTTTTTTTTTGAGACAAGACCCCCCTCTCTCTCTGTGCTTTCTTTCCTGAAATTTGATATTTAGACCAGGCTGACTTCAAATTCACAGAGACCTTCTGCCTCTGTCTCCTGAGTGCTGGAATTAAAGACATGTGCCACCATGCCCTACTCTACACCATTTTTAAATTTAAGTTTTACACATATTATACTTGTGTGAGTGTGTATGTGCACACTCACAAGTGTGCACAAGAGCAAGTTCATGCCAAAGTGCATGTGTGGAGGTCACAGGACAACTTGTGAGAGAGAGTTTTCTCCTTCCACAGTGTGGGTCCCAGAAATTGAACTCAGGTTATCAGATTTGGCAAGCAAGTGCCTTTATAGGCCAAACCATCTGAGTCCTCAGATAATTATTTCAACTATGAAAAGCATTGTGCTTTAATGACTGTATTGAAATGCAAGTCAAGTTGAGGTCGCATGTGTTGGTACATGCCTGTGATCCCAGCATATGGAAGGAAGGCTGAGGCAGAAGGATGTGAGTTGGCCAGCCTGGGCTAATGAGTTCCAGTCCCACCTGGGCTACCTAATATGATCTTGTCTCAAAAATAAAGAAATTGACATTGTCTCAACAAAATAAAGCAAAAATAACTAAAAGACTTAGAGCAACAATCATACCACAAAGATACATGCTCAACTATGTTCATAGCAGCACTATTCATAATAGCCAGAACCTGGAAACAACCTAGATGACCGTCAACTGAAGAATGGATTAAGAAAATGTTGTACATATACACAATGGAATACTACTCAGCAGAGAAAAACAATGACAGCATGAAATTTGCAGGGAAATGGATGGAACTAGAAAATATCATCCTGAGTGAGGTAACCCAAACCCAGAAGGACAAACATAGTATGTACCCACTCTTAAGTGAATACTAGATATAAAGCAAAGAACAATCAGACTGCAACCCACAGATCCAGGGAGGCTATATAGCAGGGGGGACCCTAGGATGACTGTGGCTTAGAATAAGTTTTGGTTTTACTCAATCACTGAACAAGCCTAAGTGAAACATTTCACTATTAGGATAAAAATTTCGACTGTATCGAGCTTATAATAGAAAAATAAACAAACAAATAAATAAGTAAATAAAATGAAAAAAAAGACTTAACATTTCATTCATATTTACTTAATTAGCATGCATAATATTAAGGTCCATAATGTGCCAAGGACTAGGCATGGATAGTAGACAGAAATGAAGGATGGAGCTCCTGCCCTCATAGAGCTTAGAATAATAATAAAGATCAGTGAGAAGGAGCTTGCAGCCACCTGTGACTCTAGTACCAGTGAGATCCGATATTCCTGGCCTAGGAAACACCTGCACTCATGTGCATTTACCCAACATACAGACCCACACGTTGTGGTGGTGTGAATGAGAATGGCCCCCATAGGCTCATTGTATTTGAATGCTTGGTACCCGAGTGGTGGAACTATGTAGGGACTTTTCTCTGTCCTACCAGCCAGGGCTCCAATAACCACACAGAGACTTCTTATTAATTATGAAAGCTTGGCCGATAGCTTAGGCTTCTTTCTAACTAGCTCTTATAACTTAAATTAACCCATTTTTATTAATTTATGTGTTGTCATATGGCTCACGGCTTGTTACCTCATCTCCGCCTCTGGCTGGCAAGCCCTTTCTTCTCAGAGTTCTCTCTGCCCCCCAAATCCTGCCTAGTTATTGGCCATTCACCTTTTTATTAAACCAATCCAAGTGACACATCTTCCCAGTGTACCAAAGATTATTCCACAACAGAACTCTTTGGGAAGGATTCGGTATGGCCTTGTTGAAGGAGGTGAGTCTCTAGGGGTGGACTTTGAGATTTCAAAAAGCCCAGGTCACTCCCTCTTTATCTGCTTCCTGCTTATGAATCAGATGTAAGTTCTCATCATCTGCTCCACAGCCATGCCTGCCAGCCTGCGGCCATGCTCCTCACCACGATGGTCATGGACTCACCCTCTGAACCCCCCAATAAACTTTTTCTACAAGTTGCTTTGGTCATAATGCCTTATCACTTCCATTTAAAAGTAACTAAGATGTAAATTGGTACCAGGAAGAGGGTTATTGCTGTGACAGACCTAACAGTGCTGTATTTGGAGGAATGTGGAAGACT